AGGAATCAATTATGTTGGACAACTCATGCAAGAGTTGTGTGAAGAAAGAGAAAATTCTACCTAAGATTTACAAAATATTCTCTCCAATCTATTTGATATATATTTTGAATAAATAACTATTATGTAATCAAATTAATCATATTATGGTAATAGCCCCCCACAAGTGGGACTTGAACATCACAAAGTCCCAACTTGGAGACAAAAGAATTAAAGGAAGTCGAATGAAGTGGCTTGATAAAAGCATTTGCAAGTTGAGATGAAGAAGAAACGGGTAAGAGAAGAAGAAGGAACGGGTAAGAGATAAAGGAGCCCATATTGAATTTTCTAATGAATAACATGACAATCAATCTTTGTGTTTTGTACTTTCATGAAATGTTGGATTATGAGCAAGATATATGGCTAACTTATTATCACAGAAAACTGAAGCAGGAAAATTCAAAGAAGTTTTGAGATCATTGAACAAATAATGCAACCATTGTAATTCACATGTGAGACTTGCAAGAGCTAGGTATTCAACTTCAGAATATGATCTAGAGATAGTGGAGTACATTTTAGATCTCCAAGAAATTAGAGAGGAGCCAAGAAACACACAATCCAATAATAGACTTGGGAGAAATGGGGCAGCTAGCCAATCAGAATCTACAAATGTAGACAATTTAAGAGATGCTGAAGAAGAATAAAAGAGACAACGACTAGGGGAGCCTTTGAGATAGCAAAGAATTCTAGTGGCTGCTTGATAATGAATGTCTAGAGGCTTGGAAACAAATTAACTTAACTATTGGACAGCATATGAGATATCAGGCCTAATTGTTGTGAGATACAATAAGCGGCCAATGTGACACCCTCTACCCCAACACATAAATAAACAATAAATACAAAAAGATAATTTCTGAGTAAATAGAACTTTCTTAATCAAAACCATGTTTCACATGACATAGGAGTAAAGGATTCACATCCATCTAACATAACTAACTCAAGTGTGGAAATTACAAAAGAAATAGAATCAAAGTTTTCCAACATGAATAAAAAACAATAAAGTCCTAAATTAATCCTAACTATGCACTGATGTCACATATCCTATCAGAGCATGCCCAACTAAAGTCTAAGCTTTATCACCAACATTCTCATGCTGATCACCTACAACACGAAAAACATACATAGAACAAATAGGGGAGTGAGAAACATCTCACTCGAGTTTAAGTGTAAAAATAAATGTTAGATAGCACACACAAAAATCATAACACAAGTACAAGTACAATCCATACAGCCAATATCACACACATAATCACTTATCATGCAATGATGTCATGGACTCGACTCTTTATGCATGCATGTGGTGTGAGTCACGTGTCTCATAATCACATATCACTTGGTATGCTGTCGAAGCAACATACCTGGAGTAGTTTAGGATTACATGCAGGCTCAATCGTGCACTCTCAACTAGAAGGATGTACTGCTAGGGTCTTATCATAATAACGAAGCCGTGCAAGATATGTTCCATGCACACAAATGGACAGAACTGGGCCTTCCAAACCGCGTTATCCCCTAGGACTCCTCCGAGATGTTTCACTCGAAGGGTCTTCCCTAACGGTGTACTCCATATTGTATCCTATCACATAAATTCATATGATTCATGTCACACATTAACAAATCCATGGGCTCAACATTTCACTTATCATATCATGTCTCATGTCACTTGTTCATATTTCACATTTCTCATTGTCATATTCATAAGGTCACGCACATAGGAATTCTTTTTAATATTACATTCATAAGAACACATAATTCACATCAAATTAGTACAAGACAGTTCACACCTAATTCTACCTCCAAACACACAAGAAAACATGTAGACATCAGCAGGGGTTGTGCCTAGCACGCCCCAACTCGCGTCTGACGAATTAAATGTCACACCAAAAGCGAAGCAACGCGCCCAACATGCCTTGAGTGCCCCCAACAAATTCAATGTCGCACCTAAAGTGAAGAAATCCACCCAACACAACTACACACACGTTCGGTGTGACTTTCCTATGCCCGGTGCAATTTTCCTGAGCCCGACTCAACTTTCCTAGGCGAACTCATTAATTTGCACCCGGTGTGAAGAACCGCACTCGACACCCTCAATGCGAACTTGCGATTCCAGACTTCGCAATCACGCGATTTTCACATTAAAACATATATTCATGCAATCCAATTTACAATTACTTCAAATAACTTCTACAACATGAATTCATACTCAATTTCACATTAAACACTTCAATTCTTGTCAAATGATCATATCCCTAATTGTTTCTCATAAAGTTTCCATGAGAACTCACAAAATACTCTAATTCACATCAAAACATACCAATTTTTGAAATTAATTACACATTCATGCACAGCGTCCAATAATGAACACATCAGAAACTTCAAACACCAAAATAAAAAACATTTAGAATTTCTCTGTTCCTATGAGCATGCATCAGGCAAGGGATTGGGGGTTAACCTGACTATCCAACAGATATTTCGACACCCTTAATAAGTGAGGTTTCTCACTTCCCGCTTACATTAATGGTTGGAAGATGAAGCACAAGCAGACTCTAGTTATTCCTCTTCTGGTTCTGGAAGACGAAGCTATACCCCTATGTGTAGAATTTGGAAAATGGCCTAGTATATGATGCCATAAAATGGAATCAGAAGAATCTTTGGAAACAGTATTGCCAACAAAAGGCTGGGTGAGTTGGGATCTTGTAGCAGATTCTCTAATTATCACATACAATCCATGTTGATACTTAGTTGTACCAATCATCTTCTTAGTAGCATTCTACAAGATTAAAAAATGATCAATATGAAGTTTTAAATGACATTGGTGAGAGTTAATCAATTGAGAAACAGAAATTAAATTAACACAAAAGGAGGGAACAAACAAAACATCATACCGAATCAAATCATTTAAAACCTTGACACTGCCTGAAATTGATGTAGTAACATGAAAACCAATGGGCAAGGTAATTGAGACAGGTGGAATAGATTGATGAGAAATATACTGATTCATGTTATATGTAATGTGATTGGTGGAACCTATGTCAAGAATCCAGGTGTTGGAATTCTTACCAAATGTGGCATTGGAATTGAAATTCATTACTAAGGGAGATGAAACAACTGAGTTGGCTGAATGGGATAATGGTGTTGGGATGGTTTTAGATTGTTGTAAAAGGCTCAACAATTCTTGACATTGATCTTTAGTGAATCCAAAATTGAGATTATTATACTCATGAACCATACTAGAGGGAGATGTTTCAATAGCATTGATTGTAAAGCTTGCACTCTTACCCCCCTTTTGATTGATAACCAGGTGGAAATCGATGTTTGAAGTAACATGTATCCACCCTGTGATTGTTCCTTCCACAATGTGTGCAAATTTTAATGGACCCCTGTGTGCGGCCTCCTCTACCTCTACCTCTACCATGAGAGTAGCCTCCTCTCCTAAAGCCAAATTGTTGCTGGCTTGCTGCTGTGGAGATTGATGTTGTTGTGTGTTGGGGTTTTGAGGGAGGGAACCAAAGCTTGCTGTTGTTGCTAGTACCTTGGTATCATCATGGATTGCAGATTGGTTAAGGTGTCTTTCTTGTTGTCCTACCAATGAGAATGTTTTGCTTAATGAAGGGAGAGGATCCATGAGCATAATTTGGGATTAGACATGTGTATATTGATCATTTAAGCCTCTCAAAAATCGTATCACAACATCTTGTTCTCTATATTTGTGTGAAGAATCTACTGCTCCACAGCTGCATGTTATAGAGCATTTACATCTAGAGAGAGGTCTAAGATTATCAATTTCATCCCACATTTCTTTAAGCTGGGTGAAATATTCAGTTACATTAAGACTTTCTTGATGAAACTTGTACAGTCTTCCTGTAATTGTGCAACTCGAAAAATGTCTCCTTGTGAAAATTTTGCCGTCAAATCTTGCCAGATATCTGATGCACTATCAAACAAAAGAATGGATTTCACAATCTTCTCAAAGATTGAATGCTAAAGCCAGGAGATGACCATGATATTACATCTGCCCAATGGTTCGAATAAAATGCTCGATGAATGTAGGGGGAGTAAGAGTCCCATTAATAAACTTCACCTTGTGCTTAGACATCAAAGCCATTCTCATTGCTTTGGCCCATGTGTGGTAGTTCTTACCATCAAGGAGTGCAGTCACGAGCACCAGTGAAGGAGTTTCATTTGGATGGAGATAGTATGGGTTATAGGGGTCGGTAACAAAATCTGCACAACTCTAGTCTTCTATGGTTAAAGAAGAAAGAAAAGAAATGAAGAAAGGTCTCATTGATAATAAAGGAAACTTAGGGAATGGAAATCAAAGCTATGTAATGCATAGCTCTGATATCATCTTAGAATGTGAATTTGAGTCTAACTCAATCCTCCAAAACCAACTTGTAAAGTGAAGATTGTTTTCCACTTATATACCATTTAATTATATAATTTTTAGTCAATGTGAGATTTGAATTTTTTCCAATAATAACAAGTACCTAAACAGCACAAAATGCTGTTTCCATTTTCTTTAAATAATTTATCACTTTCTAATTAGATTTGTTGGTTTTCATGGATCATAGGAAACTACATAATCTCATAATGTCTCAAATTCAAAGAACAGTTGAAGAGGAATTCGCTGAGGATGAAATAGCAACATTTCAACTTCTTGAAATTATGGAACAAGAAAAAGATCCATAAAAGTGGCATGAAAATATCTTTGGCAACAAGAGATGCAATCTATCCAAAGAATTTGTTACATGGTCATCATCATCAATATCAACAATGGAGCAAGAACAAATCGATGCTAAAACAGTAGTTGATGTGGTAAAACACATGTTCATCATCTCTATTTTATTTTATGTAAATATTCAAACGATTTACTCGTAATGATATTTACACATCATATGAAGCTGATTTAATAAATTCAGTCACTTATATTCCAAGCAAAATTGTGCTGAGTGAATACGACAAACTTCTAAGTAAAACAACATACCACAAATAATTCAAATATAAAAACACTTCAAAGAAACTAACTTTAACAGTGAGACTAAATAATTTACAAGATACTTTTTTTTTCTTTTGATTTTGGATTAGCTAATGCCTACCAGAAAGAAAGCTCACAATCACACTACCTAATCAAAGCCCATCATAAAAGATTTCTTTGTAGGATCTTCACATCCAATGTATGAACCTGTGTCCCTTGGTTGGTTACTTAGTCCAAACTTTGGAATCACACCATCTACAGGTAATTTTTGGGGGTGGGAATAGCAAGGCTTCTCTGCCACAGTCAAAGCTTTTGAATTATTTTGATGTACATCTTTACTTGCAATAACTTGTTGCATGGAGCTTATTGATGATGTAAGTGGAGGATCATGTATGTTAAACTCCATGCTCTTGAACATGAGATGTGCAATGATTCTGTCAATATTGTTGGTTTCCGATTCCATTGGTTTCTTGTCCTGAGACCTAATAAATACAAGATAACATTCTGATGATTCAACCAACTTGGGCAAGTACAAAACCACGTTCTATAAAAGTATAGATTGTTATATAGAATTGTTTAACCGTTAGTTTTGACATAAAAGTATTGATTGTCGGTTAAAAACAAATGGAACATGTAAACTCAAAATAGAATTAACAATTATCTTTCATATCACTGCTTTGACTAGAAATAATATGAGTGTTAGATGTCCAACTCATTATCATAATCCGTGCTGAATGTAATAGCAATTTTGTTCTTTGTAATAAACCTAACTATCAGTTCCCGCAAAATTCTTCTGTCATCTGGAGCAAGCAACAAATGTTCATATTCCATAAGATCATATATTTATTTCATCGATGTTCTAGAAATGTGCATTAGTTAAATAAAACTGTAAAGTAGCCTTAACATATTTCAACATTAACAATTTGTCATGCATTAGATTAAAGACAAGAGAACATAGCAGACATCCACTGAATCTTAATCATGTACCTCCTCATTGCTTCATTTTGATCTGCATGTGGTTTTTCCTTCTGTATGTTAAGCTCTTCATCATGGTCCAACATTGTATGTTGCTGTTCAGTATTTCTAGCAAGACGATACAGGGCATCTCGGAAGCAAATGCGGGTCCTGTCAGTGAACTTGTCATATGAAACAAAAAGAAATTAGGATTTCTTTTTCATGTTAATCAGAAGCCATGGATTTGAGTTCTTAGTCGCTTCACCTGTCCAATTACCATCTCAAGATCCTTCAGTATGAATTCCTCTAGCGATGACTGCTCATGTGTACCATCATCATCTTTGTTGCAATCCTCAAATGAGTCCAAAACCTTGGCCAGTGGTAACTTAAAGAAAAATAAATAGGTTACATCTCATTTACAATTTAACCTTCACATAAGAAGATTAAATAAAAGTAAGAAATTAGTGGAAAAAATAGTTTCTACTAGCATGAAAAGTTGTACACCAAAAAATGAAGCAATCGCGTAATAAGCCAAAAATATGACATTAAAATGAGGCACAAAAAGAATACTCACTCACTCATGTAAGTGGTGTGCAAATAACTTAATCAACTACATAAGAAGTTCCTTTAAACAAAATTTTTTATCTTTCAAGCCAAATGGTGTTTCATCATGGATTGTTAACAGAAAGCAATTGTCACCTCTATATGCATGCAATCCTTTGATTCTGAGTTGCTTGAAACTGACTTTGAAGCTGTAATATCATTCTGCAATATACCTGATAATAACAAGGTATGAATTTTGAGTTACTTTGTGCTCTCAAATCAAAATATTTGTTTACAATTAATCGATGTTTAAGAAGAATAATCACCAGGTGTACTGCTGCATTGGTTTCCAGGAGAAATGTTAGTGGATTTGTCTAGGTTTTCAACATCAACATGCGGCAGATCTTCAGGTACAGAATCCCTGAATTATGTTAAAACAAGTAATGCTGTAACATCAAAAAACATTCTATTCAATTAAATTATCCTAATGTTTATGGTAAACCAGTGAAAATTGAATTGCTCTGCTGTGTTACAATTGAAATGCAAGATGAAAAATAAGCCTTCCATGATAGAACTGTTGAAAAAAATTGGAGCCCTTGCCACATGTTATTACAGGTTCATCACATAGGGTATGCAGAACCATAAGTATGATTCTCTTGGAATGTACAGGGCCCAATCATAAAGATAAAAGTGAAGAAGTGCACAATTCAAAAACACCACAGAGCAATTCAATTTGCACTGGACTTTCTACAATGGAGTGTATAAATTTACTTAAGAAGCTACATGATTATCCTAAAAAAATCAAGTATCTCAATCCCAGAGGTTAAGCTTGTACAAGAAAGCGTCATTCAACGGTTGGAATCTTGGTAGATCTTGAAGCTGGTAATTAGGATGATCACATGAAAGTGATGTCTGATGAAAAGATTGCTCAGGCAATCCCCCACATACACTTGAACTGCTAGACTGGTCTTTATCATGCAGAGATGGTTCAAGCTCAATTTGATTATTGAATCTTTCTTCAAAGAAATCCATGATAAAAAAGTTTTTAGGTGAATTAAAACCTTCAGTTGCACTTATTCCCCAGTTTGACCAATAGTCTGGTGAAGGATGCCTGTCCAATAAATCCTGATCTCTGGGAACTAGATAATCATTAACGCCACTCCCATAGTACCAATCCATGATCTAGTGTCAAACAAAATGAAGATTAGCATGCAGAGAAAATATAGCCTTTGCAATAGGAATATATGCGTATGCAGATTTCAAAAACACTACTTGATTAACATTTAAAGGAGTATTCCAATATCCTATCTTCCTTCTATATGATTTTCATATCAAAATGTCACAGGGGAAAGAAAGCACCACCCAATGCCAAGATCCTCTTGTTATGCAAACTTCATTGGACAAGGTTTCTCAGAGAAACACAGGATAGCAATATTTTCATCTAAAACTGATGGACTCAAGAACTTTCCAATAAAACTTGAAAATGAATAAATCAGGCAAAAAGGAAGTTCAACATGATGGTCTTCTAGTTATAGATAAATGCCTTCTTTTGTTTCATTTTCATTTACAAGATCATTGTAAGCTCTATTTTCATCCCCTTTCATAAAACACCAAAAACCACCTCTTTAAGCTCTATATTGTTCCCAAAAAAAGAGCATGAAACCGCAACATAATTAAAGAAACTGGCTCAACTCTGCATTTGACTTCCATACACAGCAAATCACAGATTCTTAAAAACCACAAAAAATTCACACATAAATAGTCATCATAAACCAAAATACTAACACTAAAAGAAGTGAAAGAAGCATACCGTATTGAGTCTTATAATCAAAGAGGGAGAAAACCCAGTTTCCAATTGTTGAAAAGAAAAGGAGAGAATATAGTGAGACCCCAAATGAACACAACTTTGAAGTTGGGTTGATAGCTATTAATTATCTGAGGCGGCTATTGGTGAAGCTTATACGTGTCTAATTGGAAATAGTAAAAAGCATTTTAAAAGAGTGAAGAGGTTGCAACAAGAAGGTTGTGTTTGTTGTTGCAGAAATGAGTAAGGAAGCAAGAGACAGTAGTAAATAAGAAGACAAAGCAAAAAAATAAGACACGTTATGGGGTTTGTGGCTGAGAACGTTCTGGTCCCAAACATTTGTGGCTCAAATTGCTCCATCTAAAGCAGCATGGTCATTGGTACATGTGTCAGTACGAGGTTTCATTTTAAGATTTTCGTGCTTCTTGAGGATCTCACCATCTCGCATCTGATGCCATCACGATTGAAGCCATGTGCATTCTGCAGTGCATTGGAAATTGCTTCCCCTTAGGCCAGGCTATTGAGTTTTCACTATTTGACACTACTTTGCTTTAATTATCATACTTAATTTAAATTAGACTTTTTAACTTGAAAACATATGAATGCAAGAAAAGTATTCAAAGAAGGTCACAATAAATTCATTGATCAAAATTGTTAAATTAATTAGTTTTAATTAACAATGTAATTTTGACGGAAGTGTAGCTTATATTATTAATAGACTATTAATGCATTCATTTATATAGAAAATGAGTCGAAGTTCCCATAATTAGACTTTATAATAAATTAAAAGCATAAAGAATTTTTTTCCATTTTTCTTAATTTTTTAATTAATTCTTTTTTATATACATTAATTTTAATAAAAATTGTTGACTGTTTAGATAAAAAAATTTACAAGTTAAAAATAAGATTTTGGAGAAATTAATAAAACAAAAATTCTACAAAATAATTTTTATATAAGTTAATTTTAATTTATAGAAAAAAATTATTTAATTTTTTCTTCCTATTTTACTCTCTTAAAAGTACGTATAAAGAAGTTTTCCCCAATCGACTTAGTGAAATATTTGCAAAACTTGTTTTAGATTTTTGAAAATCAAAAGTTTCAAATACATGTGTTTTATGCTTTAGTTTAAATTTTATTGGTAAAGGGTTCTTTGTTTAAAGTAGCGGTTTAATATACTAAATACTAGATAATTTACTGAAAATATGTATGTATCATATAAAAAAAACAAATAAAAGCAATTACTTAACAAAAGAATGCAAAAAACAATCATTAAATATAATTATTTTTAGGTAATTAGGCATATTTTATAAAATTCATCAAATGCTCTTTAATCAACTGTATTAAAAAACTTTGTAGTAAGATCGACTTTTTTTTAAAATTAGTGACCTATACTTATAAAATTATATGTTTAATATATATACATATAGAAAATAAAGTGATATTGGTGATAAATTTTTCAATAAGATTACTTTTAAATCTATAAAATATCATATTTTTTTTGTTTATAGACATGTTTATAAAGTCTTTCAATGCATTTTATTTTTAACTAGTATTTAAGCTTGTATAATGTATAGACTAAATATTTATTATATGGAACTCAAATGTAAAATAAATTATATATATAT